AATTTGCCTCCCTGGAGAGGCAGTCGGAGGCCGATCGGGAGATCGTTGATACCCTGCGTCAGACGGGACAGTCGTCCCACGATGTGATTCCGAGTGGCGAAGGCGATGTCCGCGTCTCGTCGCTCTGCCCTGGAGCAAGCGCTCCAGAAGAAGGTGTAGCCGGCACCCACCTCCTCCAGTTGGCCTTGTCTGGAGAACTGGGTCTCATTGAGTGCAACGATGTCCACCATGTAGCGCGCCAGTTCCCGAGCCACTAGGGCTGTCCTCCGTTTCGGAGGGTTGCTCCTAGGATTGTCTAACAGGGCACGAACATTGAAGGCTGCCAGAGTGAGCAGACGGGACGGCGGCGGGGAGGAGGGGGGGGGAGGGCAGAGAGAGAGTGTGCTGTTTCTTGTTTGATTGCTTCGAGCGTGAGTTTTGCGTCTGAGGCCACGGTTAGCCTGCAGAGGCGTGGGTCCCCAGCATTTGTTAAGGGCACCTTTTATAGCCTCTCCCCCTCGCGGGAGTGAGCAGTGCTCTCCCAAAATAGGGCTGATCAGTTGCCCCAGACGGCTGCCGATCTCCACTAAGTGTCACGAATTTTGTGAAGAGGAAGAACGACCAGAGTTAGCCTGGCCCTGACTACGACATCGCGGTTGGGCTTGAAGGGGTGGGAGGGCGAGGGGGAAGGGTAGATAGACGGGAAGCAGAACTTCCTCGTCCCTCTCTAAGCGAATTATTTGCTGAAATATAAGCGGTGGGCAAATAGATTCAGAGGTACTGAAGTTAGAGTAAAGCAGAGACAAACAGAAACAAGGAGGCGAAGGGCAGGCAAGCGAGAACCAGCAGAAGCAAAGGCCGTCGGGAGAAATTAAACGGAAGGGCATTTAGTTTTCAACAAGGACAAACACGAACTAGCAGACAGAGCAAGCAAGCAAGAAAAAGTAAAGTAAAGACACCAGAACAATGTTCGCTTACGCTGGGGCTCACTTACCTTGTAGTCTCCTGCGGTGTTGCGGATGGAGTCTCGACTCGGAGACTGCGCTGTAAAAAATGACCACGTAAACAGCGGGAATTTTACTCATCGATTTTCGGCGCCCTTATATATTCAAATATATTTCACAGAAAACATGAATGAAAATATTCAGCCTTTTATTCATTTGGTAGAAAATTACGCATTCTCTAGATTTTATACTTGAAGAAAGTACATAATTCTGTTTTAAAAAAGTTTCTGAGTATGAGATTTCTTAAGACTGTGAAATGCCTGTCCATGAAACACTGCGTCTCTGCACTAACTATTGTTGATTGTTAAGTTTACACTAGGGCTCAGATCCACTGCTAGATTTTATGGACCCCATATTATCCTCTCGTCATGGAGTATAGAAACGTACGATTTTGCATACACGGAAAATACGCAGCTTGTAGTTTGGAAACCCTGAATTCAAGCGCAACGGCAGGTCGGGCTCAAAATTATTCGGTGAATTGGAAAAGCTTTTTAGAAGCGAATTATACCTTTCTTTCCAGTATAAAATTTAGATAAAACGTTATTTTCTACCAAATGAGTAAAAGAATGAACATTTTCATTCATGTTTTCTATGAAATATATTTGAGTTTATAGAGGCGCCGAAAATCGATGAGAAAAATTCCCACTACTTACGTGGTCATTTTTTACAGTGTCGTCTTTTCAGGAGACCGGAAAAAAGTTCGTACAAAAGCTGGCGTCCTCTAGTAACTGAAGTATCTTGGGATTACACTACGCGTTGATAAATATTACAACCTTACTTAGGTAATTTTTTCGAGTAGAAAACGCATTTCATAATTTCGGTTAGCATTTCACGAGGAAGCACATTTACTGTGTGTCCAAGAAGACGCTGTAGTTCAGTTGCCTATGTTAATACTATCCAGAATCTGCCTGGGTGTAAGCAGTGTATTTATTTTTACAGTAACGGAATAGCGGAATTTGCCTACTTTGTGGGCTCAACTAATCAGTGGCAATACACTTTTGTAGTAAGATGATTTCTCTGGTTGGAATGCGCCTGGCTGGCATGCCGCCCAGCTAACTTTGTCTGCTACCAAACCCAGTCAGTCTGCTTCTTTTGAAATTGTTAAACTAAGAGCAGAATTAAGCTTTCACTTGTAGGCGTGCAGAACAACATATAAGTCGAGGTGCCAGCCTAGATTCAAATACTTGTCGAGCTTCTCATTACTGTCCAACCTACACATGGTGGACTGTTTCAGTGCACTAAAGGTCGTGGTTTTTTAGGCTGGCAGCAGGCAGATTATCAGTCCTTCGAAGTGGAGCCCACGTCGTGGCAACACGTTCTCCATATAGCCTTATGAAATGATCCACGGGCACGATAGCCGAGAGGGACAGGGACAAGCATGTCTGGTCATCCAGTGCCCTCGAACCCGCCATCCGACGCCGTTGCCAGTGAAACGCAGTGTAAAGAGAGGGCAATGTTGGTCGATGCTGTGCAAACCTTCTTACATCTAACCCCTTGTAGGATCGATCCTTCGCTGATTCACAACCCCTTCAGCTGGGGGGCGGCTCCGACCGCTCGATGGTCGAATTTCTGAGTCAGGCAGCTATGCGATGTAAGGCGACACAAGTTAGCCGGTACCTCAACCTTTCCCGGTAGAATTTTAAAGAAAGTAATGGCTGTGCAATAAGATGTTCATCCCTGCGTTCCGCTGTAAAAAACCAAATAATAAATATCCATACACCGGATGAAGTTGTGAAAAATAACTTTTTTTTCTCAAAACTGAAACGAAGGCAGTTGACCAACGTAAAGGCCTGCCAATGAACACAGAAGGTACCACGGTACAGAAAGGGAGGAAACGAATGCTTGAGGCTTAAAGTAGGTAACTTGTTAGTTTTTTCCGTGATTAAAAATCCAGCCTAGATATATTTGACAATGCCGAGGTTCGTGTACCTCTGCGCCAACTTTCCGTGCCCACTTGCGAGCCGAGTGAAATGCAAAGTTTCTGCCCAAGCATTTGTTGAGTATATATACTAGAATTACGTTTAGAATCAATTTTGTTATTCGAAATGCATGCAAATCTTGTGCAGAGACTTTTGGCGCGATTCGGGACTGTCGGTTGTAGATTTGGACGACAGTGTATCAATTAGATGACCCTGCTGATCATCACATTGCCTAGAATTTCGAACACTTTTACACTTCAGGCAGTTGTCTGTCGTTTCCAATGGAAAAAGAAATACGCATTCGACGGCAAAACTTAGAAGCAGAGAGGATCTCAGAAATAGTAAGCACATTCTCCTGTTGAAACAACGACACCCGCTTCCCTGCGGGGAGAGAGGTGGAATCGCCAATGGGCGATCCGCCAACGCAATCATAAACACCGTTAAGTGCTGTGGAGCGTAATCTCGCCACATCCTCCAATTATGGAGGTATGACTGCCAATGGATCTTCGACATAGACGGGTTGTCCCTGAGATGCCATTCTTTCGATAAATGTCTAATTACTTTTGACCTGTCTTTTTCAGTCATCTAAACGGTCGAGCACATTTCCGTACCTGATGACTGTCTTTTCATGCTATTTAGAAATCTGTATACATTTTTCATCTCACTCTACAAACTTAGACTTGCTGTTCTAACAAGCGCTATCACGCAAACCAACTTCCCGCGATAAATCAAATTCATGTTGTGTGGAATTATTTACCCAGTGACCTCGAGACCCTTTGAAATCTACCGAATAAAAGGGACCCAATAAATATATCATTATTCCAGACCACCAGAATGAAAAAGCGCAGGGGACATGTCTAAGCATCAGAACAGAACGCCCAACATCTGAACTCGCTGTCGCTCCCTTGGTCTGCTTTTTCGGCAAGACACGGGATAGGAAACTCCCCTGTTTCTGGGTTTTTGCGCTAATTTTCGGGAACATTAGGGCTCATGCTAAAGTTCGTTTTAGGGTTAGGACGTGGGAATACTTATTTTCCAGGGAATTTCGTGCAGGACATTTTATTGCCGAAGGGGGGGGTTCCTATTCCCGAGTCCTACCGGTTTTTTCCTAAATCAGCTCATGTAGGTTTTAAGTACTGGAGTTCGGCCAACACAGTATATTTAAATTGCTCAGTCGGTGACTCGCGAACTTAGGCGCGCAGTCCACATCATGCGCGCTGACAAATGCCCGCGAGACGCGTCTGTTGACGGAGAAACCGGGAGATGCAGGGCGTTGCGACGAGGCACGCGCATGTTGACCGTCTGTTGGCTCCGGTCTGGCTGTGGCAATGGCCGCGCAAATGTCCTCGCCGTAGTGATCAATTCAGTCGGCCAACCAATCAGAAATCGAGGGGATCGGCTTGTTAGTTTAGCCATCGGTGTAGGATATTCGCGGGCAGCGCGACGGAAGGCGCAGTTTCATTTGTGGTTGAAGTCTGTTTTGTAGAGATCAACAGCCCCTGCATCATTCGAAGACAAGGATAAATAATGCATGCTATCACTGTCACTTTCTGTGCGTTGAGCATTTTTGTCATTGCCACAAATGCTGGCCTGTCAACGGTTCCCAAGGGCCACCCGAAAGGTGAGTGAATATGTTATTTTGAAGACTTTAATGCGGATAAATTCCAGCAGTTTTATCTGACTGTTCCTCAAGGCCACACAGTAGACAAAACACGAGACCAAATAAAAATTTGCTGGGATAATTTCGAACAGTCGAATTTGTCAATGGTTTACTGGGATCTGGACAAAATGTGTTAGTCTTTAGGTTTAAAGGATAGGACAGTTCCCTCGTCAATCATTTCGTTCACGTGTAGGCATTTTCGTTTTTTTGTGAAGGACTTCTGCTGTTTTCGTCCTGGTCTTTCCGCAGGTTCCATAGTCGAATTTCGTCGTGTCTCTCCGCGTCGATCCCGTCTGTATTACTAATCACTCGCCGTGAGCACTATAACCCTACGCCCCTTTCCATATTTCGAGATTAAAATGTCGTTATTTCCTCGTAATTCATTTAAAACTGCGGCATAATACTCTGTCAGCAAAGAACCCTGGGTGACCATTAATTTTCTTCCTAGAATGGAGAATCGACAAACCACTCCTTTATTCAAATGAACCTCGTTTTTTATGAACTATAGGTTTTCTAATTCCGAAGTAAAGCATTTAACTTCTCGGGACAAAACAGGTTTCTACACATTCGCCACGTGCTTTAGGGTTGGCCGCAGCCACCGTCTGCAGGAAGTTGTTTTAAGCCTCATTGCCGTACAAGAGATCCGGGACGAACAAATTCACCAGTAAGCCGAAGCTGCTGGCTGCAGAATTTGTTTGGCCCAAACTCGAATTATCATTAGCATTTCGGGCTGGTCATCATAAAAAATCGAGCCGCCGACACTTTCTTAAGCCTGTCCCACTAATGATCTACGAAATCATTGCCGCAGCATGCGGCCACTACGGTGGTGAGCAAAGGAGGACTTATTGCCCATGGAACCCTGAACAGCCCTCACTGGCTGCAGTGACACCGGCGTGGTCCGGGGTAGTTGCTAACAGTGTTAAGCTTAGTCACGCAGGGGTTGCGCTGGACCAACACGGGAACCAGATTAGGGTACAGCACGCGTTATTGGACCGCGCACCCATAACAAATGCCGCACATGGGAGGTGTGGCGGAACGCCTAGGCGCAGACGTACGCCGTGTCGACCACATGCTCCGGATTCCGCTTCCGGTCTCATTGACTCTACATAAACTCCGAGCTTAGGTGGGTGGGGGGGGGAAGAGCGCGGTAGATGTAACGCAAGCCTGCTATCACTAAACAGATGCACGCGCAAGTCACCGTCCCTGCGCCCACTATGCCTTAGGATGTACGGTAGTCATCATCGTAACGACGGTCGAATTATCGTTAAAGCTAGTCTGAGAGAGGGAGAAGGGGCTTGGAGGGTCCGCTGCCTCTAGAGGTTTACGAGAACGAGACTAAGGGTTTTGTGTCCCCGGTACGGCTGCATTGCGGCGGGTGGACATGAAAGACTGACCGTCTGGACATTTGTGCGTCTGTTAAATCGACCGAGGCAGTTGCCCCAACTGTACTGCCAGTGCAGCTGGGAGAATTCACAATGGAAGAAGATGGCATTGAAAAAAGGTGGTTTAAACCGTTGAGGCGGTCGGCTACCAGAATTCATATCTGTAGTTCGAATGATGGAAACAGCTTAGATAGCGTTGGGGAGCTACACCCTTCGTAGCTACATCATGCGGCGGCATGAACATCGATTAAGCGCTTGTTTCGGATCTTAACTTGTACCTATGGTGAGCTCATAGTGGGACCACTATCCAGGCTAACGAGGCTAAGGACAATCGAGGGCTGCGATCGAAGTTTATGAGCCCTGTATGACTTGGGGTTAAGCAGCATAACCCCAAGTCTTACAAGGGCAAAAACTTTTGCATTGAATGTGGGCCATGCTGTTCACTTCATAAGCAGAGTTAATACATGGACAGGTACGATGATTTCTAGATGGGGATTTCGGGGTTGCAATAGTTCTATGAAAAGAAACCTTTTTGAAGCCGTACTTCTCTACCACGTGAGCGCAAGGAAGCGTTCTTTTGTGCATATGTTCTACAAATTAGGCCTGGATTTATAAGGACGTATAAAATCAATCGGAAAAATTAATAATACTTAAGCAGTCATTTTTAGAGAGTGTAGTTAATGCCGGCGACCGGATAGAAACTTGTCCAAAGCCGGCATTCTGATGTGACTGAAATATCTTGGGGTTATGCCGTCCATTCAACGAGGCCGAAATTCTCTCAAGAGGTGACAACCGCGTGAGCTGCGAGCTGCTTGAGTCATGGTTCACTGGCCCCCAGTCCATTAACAATGCAACGAGCTTCCCTTTGCATACTCGGTGCCAAGACTTCGCCTAGGCGGAGTGATTAGCCACGCGGAGAGAGCGCAGGTGAACACTGATCCCAACGCCGGGATCGGTGGGTCAGATGGTCGAGCGATCATCACACCAACATCCAACACACGTGATGAGATTGCAGCAATTAACGACGCGAATTTCGGCCATCAAACAGTCATCACACCAAGTGCAACGATCCCTGATGAAGAGGGAGGGCCGTGAAGTTCATAGGAATGCGGTAGCATGGCGACTGCAACCTAATAAATACTGCAGCCCTTGTTCATAAACCATCCGTATCTGCCTTTGTCTCTGATGATGGGTTCGTGCAGAAATCCGAAACGCCAGGCTAATAAAGCTCTTGTCCCAGAGATCGTGTCTCCTTATTCACGACTGTTTCCTGGGACCCGTCTCTTCGTTTCTATTAGATTTCTTATCATTAACACGTGGGTGGAGGTAAACTGAAGGCGATGGTCAAATAACTGGTCCCTTTATTTCTAATATTACTGATGAGGACCTCAAGTAATAATCCCATAATGAGATTAATCCGATACTACTGATCGACGAATGGGCTGAACTAAATTTAGATACTCCACTTACCTAATGGAAGGCAGAAATACACTTCCAGGCATGCTTGCTTAAAGTATTTGTCGTCTTGACATTGTCTTTAACTTTTTTTCTAATCAGAAGAATTACTTTTTCCGAACAATCGAACGCCCGATTGTTTTTGCCCTCCCATCTCATCCTGCGAGGCCTGCGTGAGGACGTTGCTTTTTTACTTGAGCTGGTCATTCAAGAAGAACACAGTTGAGGCTTCCTGGTCCGTGTTAATTTCAGTTAAACAAACAAGATCGCCGCGCACGGCGGTTTTGGTTCAAAGACCTATGCCTGATTAATCCATATCTGTTCTGTTCGTCTTAGTGAGCAAAACCAAATCAGTCGAGAAGAATTTGATTCGTCGTGTGGTTGAGAGGTATCGTCGTTTCGGAGTGGTTGGACGACCAGTCAATGACAGCAGAGTGGTTCTCCAAATCGAATACGGCCTTCAGCTGATCCAAGTATTGGATATAGATGAGAACAAGCAAATCTTGAGGACCAACTGCTGGTCTATGTACGTAAGTGCTCCAACTTCACAGTGATTTCTTACTACCAAGTCTTTATTTGTAGGTATTTTGTGTGTGCACACCAGATCCTCAGAAAACCAGCTTAGTGTACCAAACGCCTGCTAGGTAATTGCGAAAGTTGAAGGACAAAAATCCAGAGGGTATAATGACTACAGTTAACTACGACTACTACTACTACTACTACTACTACTACTACTACTACTACTACTACTACTACTACTACTACTACTCCTCTGGGTGTTCAAGTCTCTGGCTAGTATTTAATGCTTACTAAGTTATAATATTGCCACAAGGGTCGCAAAGCATTATTCGAGGTGGAAAGTGCTCCGACTAACTAACCCTGTTCACAAAACAGGGGATATGACAATAAGCTGCCCTGCTATGAAACTAGAAGAAAGAGTAGATGATAAAACAGACCTGTGAAAAAAATTTAAATAATTCGACTATCCGTCTCCGTTAGGGTTTTAATATCACTGGAGTTTTTCAGGTTTTATGTGAATGCGTCAAATATACCAATCGACTTATTGCTATAGTCATTAGAGAAAGGATATGCCGCAGAAAAATGAAATTACTTCCTACAAGGAGATTTACTAGGTGAATGGAAGAAGGAGGCGCCTGCATGCAACAGGGTTTCCTCGGTGGAACTAAATAAAATGTTAGCAGTTATCGGGTCAGCATACTAGACTTTCCGAAATTCATAAAGTGCTGGTAATAGACAGAAAGTCGACGAACCTGGTTCCCTCAATTCTCGCCGGTCAGTGATGGTAACGAGGCGTACTTGTCAGAATAAAATCGCATTTCGACGGAACAAAGTGTAATAAAGTCAACCAGTCAGAAGTGTTCAGAAGATTCGCTCGGCTGATTAATAGAGGATCGGACAGAGAACGAAGTCTGGAGGAGGTTGTTGACAACATTCAGAGAACATTATTTATAGGCATCTTCAGGAAATTAAAAGTTGAATTATAATAAATAAGAAACGAATAGAAAAGGGAGCAAGATGGAAGGAGATCGGTAAGCACTTTAAGACTGCATTCTAAATGGTGAGAAGAGGGTGCTGTTTTGTTTGTTGAGTGCCATGGCGTGGTTGGAGTCAAAAACTCCCTGAGTGACCAACGTTTTGTCATAGTTGCTCCACTCTTAAGACCTCAATTTGGTTCTAGATGTCCTCCATAGTGTTCCATACTGCACACACGAAGAATATATTTTCCATTTGAAAGCCCTGATTTTAAAAGAACGACGGACGCTGAAACGTTAAAGATTCTTCCTCGTCACCTCTTTTATCACGTCAAAAGTACATTCGAGGTATCGTTACCCGAACGCACGTGTATAGAGGGGGGGACAAAGTGGTACATATGAATATGTACGCGATCGGGGGGACAACAGGGAGCCTATGGGGAGGGGGGACCTCACATCTGTGTGGAGGCGACACTACTTAGATGACCGGATGGAGACTGCAGGTTTCATTGATTCCCTACATACTGAGATTCGTCATTCCTCGAGTGCCCTATCTTCAACCAAGGACTGTCAAAGTCTTGTATAAGGCTACACCGACCAATCGTTTATGCACACTGAAGTGGCTATCTCTTTCATTCATTGCGACTCCTTGCCATTCCCAAAGTAACTTTAGTGCTTTTCTATTAAGTCAGTAATCACAAGGTCTTTCGAGCTTACTTTATTCCTCTTCTTTTATCAAAGAGATGGAACGACTCATTATTGCAATGGGACCCAAGTGAATACGGCAACGTGACCGAGATTCGACTCTTTCCCCAAGTAATTTGGACACCCGACATTCAATTGTATAACTTGTGAGTGATGACGTATACAGTAGCATGGTTTTAGGAAGTTTCAAGCTTATGTTTGCTTCAAGGGCTAAAAATTTCATATTTATGTCCGCTTGCCTTAGCGCTGATGAACGAACTGTGGAACACCGGATTGCCCGTGTTGTCGTACAGAGTACTGGAGAGACTCTGTGGGTACCACAGGCCCTCTTCAAGAGTGCTTGTCAGGTTGGAATCACCTTTTTCCCCTTCGATACACAAGTAGGTACACCCTCCTTCTAAGAGGGCCTATTTCTGTCTCAGGTCTTTCCCCTTTCTTCATCATATAAGTTACGTGTTTTTCGGTGTCCTTCTCTTTCTAATTTTTCTCTCGTCTGCCCGTGTTCTTACTTTTATTATTGCCGCTACTACTATTACTACTACTACTACTACTACTACTACTACTACTACTACTACTACTACTGCTGCTACTACAACAACTACTACTTATACTACTACTACTACTACTACAGCCACGGCAAAAATCGCCTCGACTGCGATTTTTCCTAACAATCATTGCTTTTAATTCTCCGGACCGTGTGCCGCTGTACAATTGTTCGAAGACTAGCTTGTGAACCACATTTGGCAGTACGTTTTTCAATTAAGATGTAACATTACAGACTGATTGTCAAATATATAAGTGAAAAGATAATTTTTAGGCGCCCTGCGTATTTTTGACTCCAAACTCCTTACTTTCACTGTCACGGTGGGTTTTTTGTCATATCCGGCAAAAAATGTGTTTTCACTATTCAGTTAACAGTCCTTAAAGTTTTGTACCACCGGGGCCTACGTTACTTTGAGGATTCACTTCCCTGCCTCCCCTTCTACTTGAAGTAATCGCACGGTCAGTGACTGATCTCATGAAATGTTAACCGAAATTCTGAAATGCGTTTTCGATTAGGAAGGATAACTAAAGTAGATTTGTAATATTGCTTATCTTGTGACATAATCCTGTTGTATTCCAGGATGTTGGTCTTTTAGTTCACCTCTTTTTGACCTCCTGTAAAAACCACAGTTGGTAAAAAATGGGTGCTCAATTGGCATGCGTCTCCTCTATCGATTTTCGATGCTCCCGTGAATTCAAAAATATTTAGTAGAAAACATGCACTAAGCGATTCTTTCTTGTGCTCATTTGGTAGCAAATCACGTCTTCTTCTAATATTGTACTCGAAAAAGGGTATCTTTCGGTTTTAAAAAAGTTTCCAATTATGAAAATTTCTAAAACCGTTCAATGTTCACTCGAATAGCATCGTATTCGTCTGTTTAATAATGCTCCTCACTAAATATACAACGTAGTTCACATCCGCCGAAGCACTTTATGAACAGCATATGGTATTTTCTTAATGACATAAAGGGGGTATATGCTTTTCCTCACGCGGAAAATGTATAGCTGGTAGACTGAAAATCCTGAACGAAAATGCAACGGTAGATCAAGTTCAAAATTACTCGGGAATTGGAAAACGTTTTCAAAAACAAAAGATATTTTTTCTTCGAGTATAAAATTTAAAGAAGACACGATTTACTACCAAATGGGTAAAAGATAAAGCCACTATATGGAGTTTTTATGTTAAATATATTGAATTTACATTGGCGTCGGAAATCAATGGAGAAAATGCACATTATTCAAGTGCCTATTTTTCACCGAAAGCGGTTATTGCAGGAGGTCAAAAAGAAGTAAATTCAAAAGCCAGCATCCTAGTGTGTTTGAAATACCACGGGATTATGTCGCAAGACAGTCAGCCTCACTTAAGTGATCCTTTCTAGTCGAAAACGTGTATCGGAATTTCGGTCAACATTTCATGAGATAGGTCACTGACTGTAGTTTTCTGTGGAATGAACGCGTAGTGTGTGTATCCAGGGGTGGGGACGAGCTAGTCTTGTAAAGCTTTCGAGACGGGTTTTTATTTTGCGTCAGAGCTGCCCTCCCTATTATATAAGAACGAGGATATTTCCACCTCACAGACAAGAAGTGCTGTAGAACAAACAAATTAAAAGTTGCTTTCGAATCTCCAACGCCCTAGGGGTTCTCTCACGGACCTACAGTAGGTGAGCTAACTCATGAAATGCCAGCCGAAATTTCGAAATGCGTTTTCATTTCGAAAATATTAATTAAGTAGGGTTGTAAAACTAATCAGTTCGCAATATAATTCTATAATAATCCGGCTACCTCGGAGTGCAGGCTTTCGAATGAACTTCCCCCGACTGCATGCACGAACTATACTCTACAAAAAATGACTACTTAAGTAGCATGCCTGTTTCCCATTGATTTTCGATGCCCTTAAAGATTCAATTATATTTCGTGGAAAATATGCATAAAAATATTCACTCTTTTGCTCATTCGGTAGAAAATGCTGTCTTTTTCCAACTTCCTACTCAAAAGAAGGGTATAATTCGGTTTTCAAAAAGTTTCAAATTGTGCGATTTCATAATACCGTGAAATGGCCGTTCATAAAACGTCATGTCTTTGTATTTACTAATGTGGCTCGTAAAATTAACAATATGGCTCAAATCCACTGCTAAATTTTATGAATCCCACATGGTCTTCTCTTAATACCGTAGAGAAATATATGGTTTTTCATACGCAGAAAATATAAGACTTGTAGTTTGGAAACCCTGAATCCAAGTTTAGCGGCAGGTCGGGTTCAAAATTATTCGGGAATTGGAAAAGCTTCTGAAAACCGAATCATACACTTTCTTAGAGTATAAAATTGGAAGAAGACGCAATTTTCTACGGAAGGAGTGAAAGAATGAAATGCATGCATAAACTTTAATTGAATTTTTAAGGACATCGAAAATCAATGGGAAACATGCATGCTAATTAAGTAGTCATTTTTTGTAGAGTATAGTTCGTGCATGCAGTCGGAGAGAAGTTCATTCGAAAGCCAGCACCCCTAGGTAGCCGGATTATTATAGAATTATACTGCGGACTGATTAGTTTTACAACCCTACTTAAGTAATCTTTTCGAAATGAAAACGCATTTCGAAGTTTCGGCTGACATTTCATGAGTTAGCACACCTACTGTACCTCCAAAATTTTGCCTGCCAGTGTACTTGGATGTCTTCTTCCGTTTTTCTAGGATTAAAGATGGTGGATCAGGCCTGAGCCGAATTCCTAGTAGTTGCACTAGACTGCTGCAGAAAATCTGCGGGCTGTTAATTAATGCCCTTGTTCGGCTTCCGGTTAAGGGAAAATCAGGTTTTGATCAACACCTGCTCTAGATTGGGCACGGGAATATGGACCTCCTGTGTGACAGGTGGTCTTTCGCTGAATTCCAAGAGGGGGGAGGGTTAGGGCCAGGTTTAAAGTTAGGACAGAGTTAAAGTAGGACCAGGGTTAAAGGTAGGACACGGAAATAAGTACCCTTCCCGGCGTTTTACGCAAGGTCACTTGCACTGTCGGGAGGTCCATATTCCCTTGCCCGAGTCGGCTAGAAAACTCAAAGCATTTTAGCAGTTAGGGGACTGTGCAGTGCACTGAGGCCTGCAAAGATCATACGGGGTTCTTAAGAAAGTAGGTTACAGGACCAAGTAATACCTATGGAAGATCTGTGCAAGAGTTAGAAACACCAATGTGAGCAAGCATTTGCCAAGAAATACTGCTTTATGTGGTAAATGGATAAAGGCAGGCAAAGATTTCGCTGACAACAAGAACGTCCTCCGCTGGGTCACAAACAAACACATTGAAAAGTTTGTGAATGGTCATTTGAAATTCAGGTGTATTTTAATGCTGCGCCTTTAGGTTTGCACACTCGAATTCGGGTCATGGACCTATGACGTTTCTCAAATGGACATTTCCTGGTGGAAACCGGACAAGATGACGGCACCAATGCCGTACGTCGACTTCTCTGACTATGTGCCCAGCAATGAGTGGCGTACTTACGGGGAGCTTGAAAGAGACATTCCTCACGAGAATCGGACGAAACAGGTAAGGCTATCCACAGTCGAGTCGTGCTTGAAGGTTATTCTCCTGTGTGTCTGGATATTTATTTTCGTAAGTATTTTAAATATTTTATTAGGATTGATAGAACACACCAACAATGTGTGAGTTGAATAGTCAATTTGACAAACTCGCCTTTTCGGTAACTCGTTATCAGGCCAAAACTGTTACATAGGAATTGAAAATATGCAAATTTGCGATTTCTCAGCGCTTTAAAATTCATCGAGTAGGCCCTCTTCAGACATAAGAGCAGTGTTATAATAAGTAGTAGTTATGGGACATTTAAATCGGCCATAAGTCATTGCTGCAAGTCGGGGACCACTGAGCATCAATGCATACGTGGGTCAGTAGTTAATACTCCGACTGAGTTTTTGTCAGAGCTCTAGTGTTCTATCCCTTTACCATCTACCGTACACTCAGCCAAAGCAATTATCTTCACCATCGTGAAATCAAATAAGTGTAGTTGACAGCAGTTTGATATATTTTGTCCGTATGCCGCACAAACAGTTTGCGATCATAGTTCTGTCTGACTTATATAATCAGAGGGGCACCTAGGGCAGGGGATGCGACAATATGCCAGATTACTCAACTTTTAATCTTTGGGAGGCAACTGCACACGCTGTTGCATAATAACTGTTCGAGCAATCAATTCGCCTTTGGCATCTGCTGCTTCTGCAGCCTACTCGTGTTCCAAGACATCTTTGACGACGTTCATTGTCTCGCTTTCATTTCCTCAGATAAAGTCACTGAAACGCTATCGAGAAAGAAATCAAACGAGTGGCGGTAAGGTGACCCTGAAAAAGTACCCCGTACTCTGCTACCGCATACGCCTGATTCGGAACCCCAGCTTCTACGTCTTCATTCTGGTCATTCCGTGCATTCTCCTCTCCTCTCTAACGATAGTCATTTTCTGGCTTCCACCCGAGTCTCCAGCCAAGATGATGCTCGGTAGGTTCACTGAAATACATACACTGCCTCCATTCTTATCCTCTACATCGGAATGGCCTCCTTTACTTGGTTATTTCAATCTGTTCTCTGTAAGCGTCCGCGCAGCGGCTTTTAAACGACTTGGTTGCAGAAACGTGGCCTTTTGTCTGCACTGCCATATGGGGTCGACATTTCGACAGGCTTTGCTGACGGCGTCCACCGTGGGCTTCAGGACAGGGTAGGAGCAGGGACTGTGACTTGGGCGTGGATTCGGTTACAGTGATGGCAGACTCGCTCAGAACCTACCGTGTACGCCACTTCTCCCAACATGGGTTCGATGCAATAACCAAGTCCAGAAGACCGGAGGCGAGATAAGACGGGTGGCTGGCACGACTTAAGCGTACACACAGCGTACACTAACCAGAATTTTATACCGTAGAAAAAAATAGGGGGGCGGGACAGGTCGCTACTGGCGCGGAATGCACCGCCAACTGGGTCTGCCACCCCACCCTGGTGTTGGGTGTGTATCCCCGATAACACCTACCGGACCCTGGTCTAGCTTATGTGGCGGTTCAGCGCATATGCCTCATGGCCCGTCTTGGGGGCACATACACAGTACTGACGATGAGGAGCCAGGAATTCTGACGTGTCGCGATAGATTCCAGCGCCTCAGGTTTATTATTGTGAGGAATGTGCTGATGTGCCGTGAGTATGGATTCCCCCGGTGCCAACCTCCCTCTTCCCTCTAACAGTAAACTGTCCGAGCCTGTCAACCAACTGATGATAGGACAGGATGCAGTTGCTGACAAAACTCAACGGTCCCCCGTACGTGTACCATGGCTTTCACAAGAATGGCCCTTTTGGCTAGCAGATTTGTGAACAAAAAACAGAGCTGGTCTGCCGCAGCTGATGAACGGAAGTAAAATCTAGCAAAAGACACATAGACGTCCTTTTAAGCACGAGTCGAGGAAAATCAACACATTTGCATGCATAGAGCTGACCAAAGCTCTAAGCATGATGGGCTTCGGCACTTTGGGCAGAAGAGCAGAGACCAACATGCCTTTTCAAAGTGATATACCACGGAACATATGCAGAATTTGACGTCGAGAACCAAATGTGGAGCACTTTTTAAGACAACGGGAAAACTCTTGGCAATTTTACCGATGTCGCTGGGCTTCATGCTACACCTCAGAGCTTAGGACAACTAGCAAGTGGATCAGGGACAGAATTCACTGTCGACTGTGGCCTGAGTAAGCCAAAGCATCCGAAAATGCAATTTAATATAACTTTATACGACATGTCTTAAGCAGCTCAGGGCAGAACGACAGCGAAAAAGATTGGCATATACACGTGAATACTGTAGCTGACGAATGCAAGCCTAACAATTCTGAGAAAAAAACTATATATGAACTTCCCCTAATCAATAAGTATACAGGTTTGGAGATGTCAATGTATCCGACGCGCAACCGTTACTAACATGTTTTTGGTCGACACTTATAGTGAACATGAACCTATGCGTCACTTAAGATTAACCACGACTTAGGCACAACCAAGTCCACAGGAAAAGCTGTGTCTTCCTGTCACGTTTGCCAAGTGAGTCCGAGAAGGTCACACGTGTGAAGAAGTAACCTCTTTGAACTCGAATGAGATGCAACATTTGAGCCAAAACCTCATCAAACTTGTCCGTCGACAGTACCGTTCAGCAAGTTTTTCGGTGTGCGCAGTAAGCGCCCTTTCTGGTTCGGCCACTATCCTCATTTCCCATGGGTGACACGTCGTCAGTTTGGGTAAAACAGGGGCGGGTGATACGCATGAGAGGGCAATTACCAGCCTGCGATCGACATCAGCTTTTAGTAAATTCCCGACAGGCGCTCACGGTGCTTTTCTTCAAATAACTAGGAAAGCTTGGTACAAAGAGCTCGCAAAAAGCCTTGTCAGGGGAAAAAATTCATGATTCTTGTTGGCATAAAGATGGACTCGAGCAATCTGTATAATGGACGCCCGTCAGGCTCTGACTCTGAACAGCCACACCTGCTGGTTGAGTTCTAAATGAACATGTTCTTTCAGTCAGTAGGACGATCCTCAGTCTTAAAACAGCCTTGTCAAGCTTCCCTGTCTATTACCAATTACTTACAGAAGATTTACTAATTCCATAGTGTCTTTATCATTTCCCCATGCCACAAAATTGGAAATAAGGAACCTACAATTGACTTAACACAAACGCTTTTGTCGTCGTTATATTCATTCTAACGGTTTAGCAGACCAAAATCGGTCCGCATATGCACAAGCTGGGTTAAATGTCCACCATTCTGGGTCGAAAGAAGTCCAAACAGCACAATATTAAAGTGATTTTAGAGCAAAAACGTTGCTTCTGCTGATGCAGTTCTGAGCTCCCGTCTGTAAACCTTAGAACTCCGTCCACCGGCGCAGCAGCTGTGGACTTTCGGAATTTATTGATTTGGCTATGTAAACGGAAACTTTATTTGTCTTTCAGGCATGAACATTTTCGTCGCCTTCTTCCTCCTGTTGCTCTTGCTTGCTGATTTGACGCCAAATGCCGTGAAGGAGTTTCCGCTAATTGGTACGTTTATGAAGTTCTCGTCAAGACGACATTTTGCACCAGCCAATCGCATTATTATCCAAGTGGCGTCTACTTCATTCACTGCCGCTATTCAGACCACAAGTAATGATACTGTGTCGTAGGATGACGACTTATTTTCCCATTAAGGGTCAAAATACTGAAGATGACAAATCTCTACTTAGGGTGACTGTTTAAACCGAGTGAAATAGGTTCAGTACAGGTAGCCGATCGGAACAACTTGAATGTCGAAAAGTGTACTTATTCTGTCTGGCAGTTCGGACATCTGCGTTTGCCTGTGGACAAAAAGTAGCCAGTGACTGAATGCTTGACCTCCTGCCCTCTATCCAGCCTCACGGCTAGGCGCTGGCGTTGAGGCCGGTATACCGAAGAGGTCGGTTAGTCAGTTAACCTATTAGGCATCCGGGTCTCAGGGCTCCTGCTAAGTGTGACGATCGGTTAGACCCATTTTCACAATGGTATCACTGTATAGGAACGACCTGCTTCGAAGTGCACACAGCCCACCAACGACATCAAACCCATGCGAGTGTTTGGTGAGCGAAGTACCTCCACTATAAGGGAAAGGTAAACAGAGCACGCATTGGGTGTCAGTGTAAGAGTATTTTTTAAAATTAAAATTCATAAAAGGAAATCATGCCGACCGATTTACACCAGCAGAACTCTCATGTGGAGCGCCAAAAACCTGGGCTGGAGCATTACTTATGGATAGAGTTTGGGTAAATGCGTGTGGCACATAAGTTTCTGGATGTTTTTAGGAAACAAGTCAATTTTGCCCTTTGAAAAAGGATGTTACCAGAGAGTAAGGACCATCAGTAGAATTGGAGGGATCGCCTCTTGCGTTTTCTGCCCGACCTGGGAATCATATCTTTGTCAGGACCAGTATGAATGATGCAGCAGCCGAAGCCCTTGTACACACTCGTTGCTCATCGTCATTTTCTCATTATGGGAGATCGAGAACTTAGGTGGCACTTAAAACAGGGTCCTTAAGTATGTCCATATTCATTCGTCCACACCTATCCTAGCACAAATGTGAATTTTGGATGGAGTAACAGGATACTTCGGGCAAGCTTTTAATCGTAAACTCTTTCTCGTGTCAATCGTGTTTCACTCCCTCTGAACCCAATCGCGTTTCTCCCATTCTGTCTAGGTGCATACTTCTGCCTGAACATGATCATGATCACTCTCTCAACCTTCTTGGCTACCTTGGTGATCCATCTCTACTACCGTGGTGATCGGAACGGTCCCCTACCGGCAATCTTGCACAGAGTAAGTCAGATCCAATTTCTATTACATGGGTAATTTCTCAGAAAGTACTATCTTAATGTCTCAGTAGGTATCTCATGATTTCAGTTGATAAAACACTGAATTTTGTGAAATAATAGTGAAGAGTTTTGCCGGACTTGTGCTACTCTGTGCACAACGCCTTGTATAAAGTGCTATATGACAGTTCGGCCATCGTTAACGATGCTGACCAGCATGTGTCCACAGCATGTCGGGCGCAGAACGGTGAGTTGTGAGCGAATAAGTTTGTAGTCATAGCTGAGCGCCTCAATCCCAAGCTCCCCAATACGGCAACTCCCACAACGTCTGCGACCACCACCGGCGAACAAACTCCCGAGGTCCCGCAGCACACCACCACCCCCAATATAAATACCACTGGTTGGGGACGCTCACCGATCGTTCCTACGAACTCACTCGTTCCGTTGTGCTTTACGGGCTCTCCCTCGAGCTCAGCCAGCAGCCACACAGCGGCGCATGATATAGGCAGAATGGTATTACCGACAAAGACAAGGGAGACTGGAATGGCCATTTCTGACTTATTAGCCGTCGTCAGCCAGTCATCCCCAACCCCGAAGTGCGGAACACCTGGGGCGCGAACTCGCGCCCTATTAGTTAGAAGTCAAACGCCTCTAACCCCTGGGCCACGCCCCCTACCATTGTATATTCCCTATCGAAACCGACAGGACAACGGGCCCGTGGCCCAGAATTTGGAGGCGTTGGACTTCTAACTAACAGGAATGGCTTTTCCAGTCTCCCTTGTCATTGTCAGTACTACCATTCTGCCTCTATCATGCGCGGCTGTGCGGCTGCTGGTTGAGCTTGAGAGAGAGCCCGTAAGGCACAGCGGAACGAGTGAGTTCCGTAAGAACGATCGGTGAGCGCCCCCAACCAGTGGTATTTATATTGGGGGTGGTGGTGTGCTGCGGGACCTCGGGAGTTTGTTCGCCGGTGGTGGTCGCAAACGTTGTGGGAGTTGACGTAATGGGGAGCTTGGGATTGAGGCAGTTTCTGAGACACAAGGATGTCTCGCGTTAGCAGTGCATTGGGTCCTGAGATGTCCGAGGAGGCCGGCCTGTGCGCGGAATGTCCGTTGACATCGTGGACACGATGACAGGGATTAAATGTTGGAATTGCCGGTCTGCGAGATTTGTCCCCCTGTCAGTTTCTCTTTTGACTTTGGCAGCGGTAATCCGGTCGACTCTGTAGATTTCTTCTCAAGTCTTAATTACAGTTCCGCCAGACCGGTCGATGCTGGTCGAGGCCCTCCCAGGTCTCGGGGTTGATTTACAGGCTCTTGAAAATACTACTACGCTCAGAAGTTCTGGCGATTGTGGCCTAACAAATAGCCTGAACAGTTAGTAGATCTTAATCTTCCTATATGAAAGCATAAAGGATGCAACTTGTAAGGGTTTTTAAACGTGGGAGTTAATGACATGTTTAAACGTTCAAAGGTGGAACATAGTAAGTTTATTCCAAAGAGCTCTTGAAAATTGTGTACTTGCACCAGTTGAGTCTTAGGAAAGTGATTTGAATTTGTCCAATTATTGTTGCCATTTGGAGCTCCTCTGCAAGATTCCTGGCCTACATATGGCAAGGCACAAAGCAGTGGGCCTTTCCGGTTGTTTGGACTCACCAACATATATGTTTTAGTTTTTGTTTCCAGAAATCCGCAACTCCACGCCAAAAGACATCGCGCTACGAAACATTGCCGTCCGGAGTTCGAATGCGAAATGAGCAGATATAATGCTAATGTTTGTTAGGAGAAATACTATTAGCTATCCATTAGTTAAATTAACCTACCTCAAACGCCAAGTACCAGGTGAATAGAATGGCGTCTGCACTTTCAAGTAAAAGGAACTTTACCCAATTCAATGACGATATTCGATCGTTTACAAACTGCTTTATCCAGAGTCCGAGGCTTCCTCTTCTACGGCCCTTTTCCGACCTGCTGTTCCCTGGACTGTTAGTCAGAGTAAAAAAACGGTTATTAATCAGCAGTGTCATTTTCATAGCCCCAGCGGCCAGAGGACATGCAAATGATAACAGGAGATCATGGGTAAGCACGAAGAGGAGTTTGTACCAGAGTTAGCAGAAATCAATAATTAATAAGCACAACATGGCCAGGTGATGAGAGAACATAAGGAAGTCAAGTAAAGAGGAGTGTAGCGGAGAAGGGTGTCAAAATGCCTTTCGAGAAAAAGAGAAGAGCAGGGATACAGTGGAGATAAAAAAGCTTCCTAGCAAATAAACCAAAGACGTTTGTTATTTGTTCGAACTTATGCATTCAGTAGACAGTTTTCGTACTTATCCTATTACGCACTCTTATTTGTCCACTGTATGGCTAGGAAGACTCCCTTGTGGAATCCAGAAACCCTCTGTATGAATTTAACTTTTTGAAATTTATTTGGTATCCAGTAGAAAGATTATAAGGAGTTTCACCGGTCTTCTGCTGATTTCAAAAGTAAATTTATTTAATAAGTCACTAGAGATAATTCAAATTACTGTATTGACAGTGTGAGCCTTCTACCAATTGGGTCAACTGTTCATTTTCGAGAATTTGGAACGCATCGCAAAACTTGGCTATTTGTGGGAGATCAGGGTCGACCATTCTGCTATTTATGCAACCTCCTATGGGTTCCTCTAGTAGTCATCCATGGTCTCCTTATAAAGCTAACGGTATTCTCCGACCCAAACATAATATGGTAGTGTTGTAGGGTGCATGGTAATCGTACAATACGACACGTAGACGTCTAGCAGACTTAAAATAACTCAAAAGTTTTGGCGGAGAAGAATGCAATGGATTTATTCAAGGCCATATTCCCCATGTTGAGTGCAGGCCGTCCCCACCGTAGCAACATCGATCATTTTTGTCTGTATTCAGTCCTAGTGGTTGAGGTAGGCATCGGCAGCCTCTTGGGGCGGCGTAAATTGCCTCAACTTCAAAGACATCGGGAAGACAGATGGCATAGAGGTGTTTATTTGCCAAAAGACTGCCACGCCATAGGAAGTTCAAGGTCCTCCCTGCCGAGTGAGGGGAGAGGGAGAGGGACGGCCTGCCTGCACGTCGAAGGAAATGGGGCCAGCGGTAGTCGCACCTTGACCTTATGAAGTCAGTCATGTGATCAGGTGGCGTGTGACCACCGACTCTGTGGAACCATGCTAAATCTCTCGTTAGTTTTAGCAAGCATGGATCTGCAAGAAGTCCTACCAGAGCGATTTTAAGTGCATAAGGCAATAAAGACAGCCTATGAGAAGTTTCAGTCGGCGCACAACAATAATCTTGACCCCTAGCAGAAAGCAGTCCTGCTGGTCGACTGTATCCTTGCAGGTGCATTTTTTAGTTGGTCCGGGCCTGACGAGAAGGCGAGAAAGTCAGAAAGTGGTTCTACTCAATGTAAACAGTGGTAAAAACCGATTTGTAGGCCTAGGCGGAGGGACTTGACTGTAGTTCTCATGACGACTGTTCAACCACTGAACTGTATTAATAAGTTATGCTAGTCCTGCTTTGAGGCGATGATACCTTACCTTAAGGCCTTGAACTCGGACGCTCAATAACCGTTCGTTTTGAATTATGATCTGTTCAAGGGAGAGGCAACTAAAAAAGGAGTTGGAGTACTTGGTACATGCACTTCACATACGGTAGCTATGACAATTAGCAGAGTGACCCCAGACGAGAAGCCCTGTACCAGGTTCTGATTTGAACACCGAATATGAGAATAGATGGCATATTTACTCCAACTTTAAGGGGAAGGATAAACCGGTTTGGCTTGAGTGTGAGCGCATCCTAGTGGATGCTAACCAGTTTGAAATTAACCTTAATTTTTTACATCAGTGAATAGTTAATTTTACCTGCAATCCAGGGAAGCATGAAAAATATATCCTACCAAAGCATATTTGCCAGGAAACAAGCAATTCAGCGGGCTTCTGAAGGCGGCAGACGTGTTGGGTAACATTGCTGAGGCATATGGTAACAGCTAAACTCTACTACTTTTATGTTAAGCCAGAATGTAAACAGTAGAGGAAGAAGAAAAAGTTCGGCCACAAAGACCACAACACATCCCTGAGCTCATAAAATGAGTCCAGCTAAGCCTGTCTTAATTCCTATTAAATCCATAAAGATGGCTGCCATCAAACTCTGTACGCCAAAGGACGTAGTAATAAGTCTCGTGCATTTGATTAACATAGGCGAGTCCTGACTTTACTGGAAAATGAGAGGTGAGCAGTTTACTTTCTCACTTGCGCCATTTCCTCGTCCACTTGGACCAGCGTCTTCTCAATGACAGAGGACGAGAAAAAGCACCCAAATTAGGTCTTATTGTGCGCAGAGAATATCTGTGAAGGAGAATTAAGTTGACCCTTTTTTACGAACAGGGTGAAAGCCTCAGCTGCAAGAGGCATACTGAAATCGAGGAAAAGTGTGTGCCACCCTGACAAATCAAAAACTTTTCCATGCAGCAATATCGTCTTAAATTGGAATCACATTACATGCCAGATGACCCGCAAGATCGAAGCAGGCTTGGAAGAAGCCGAGAGAAGCGCCTGGTGATCGAATATAAGGTTTTCAAACATTTTCAATAAGGAGTACTCGACTACTCAGTGTGGAGAAGAATGCACGCGGCGGCTTATGGTGAGGTACACGCAAACCCCGAGGTTCTGAAGGCTTATATCCCGGGGGTTCAAAACAAAATACCCATCTAGCATGCCCAGCGCATGCAGAAAGGTTTTCAAGCAAGCATCATGATAGTTTTTGAGACGGACGGAAGCGTATTTGGACACTAATCATACTTGCTTTCTTGTTTCATTTTCTTGCGTCATATGCCTCATTTCCCAAACATGGCAGGAGGAACTCGAAACCATAGTTTTTAATGCACTCAGTGTCGTGCAAACGGGCAAGTCTAGTCTGGATTAGTCATTTGGACCAGCCTTCCTTTTCTGGCAACTTGATTTGGAAAGTCTTCTTTAGAATTCCAATCAGATGCGATCTCGAAGATGTGTGCGCACATTCAAATAAGGCCCTTTTACGTCCCTCAAAATAAAGTCTGCTGGTTCTCGTCGCCTTCGCCACTACTACTACTACTACTACTACTACTACTACTACTACTACTACTACTACTACTACTACTACTACTACTACTTTCAGCGTTTAAATATAAGTAATCCCTGTCGTTTCAGGTGATCGTGGACGGACTCGGTCGCCTGATGCTAGTGCGCCAGCACATTCCACTGCCAGAGAGGAAGAAGACCCTAAGTCACGTGGTTACGCGCTCAGCCATCACCCGTGTTCGCCGAAAGATTCGCGTGCCTGAGCTTCCCTCCAGTAAGTTCATGGGTCCTGGGGCCTACGAGACGGGTTCCATTTGCCGACCCAGCCATGGTATGGGTCTCATGTCCAGTTGCATGGGTGGTGGCGGTAGCAGTATGGACGGCCCTATGTGTTTTGACAAGGCAGGTGACTGTGTTGGTGGCGTTTTCGGGTACACGCATTCGGCCGCCACCTGTAAGTTAGCCGCACCAATGCGTTGCGCATTCGCCTGTCCTTGTGGTGGTAATCACAGTGGCGGAGGCACCTACGGTGGCATAAATGACTCCATGGGTGACCTCTCGGCTTCCTTCCATCCGCGCTCCGCCGGTGCAGCTACCTGCCCTCAACTCCACTCCAACTGCGACATGTGTGGACACCCTACCATGGGCCCCTTGGAGACACACCGTCCTCCACTGCAGCCGTCGGCCACCATCGAAGGACCATGCCGTGGTCCTGCGGTCGACTCCGAGGACTCACCCATCATGCTCAGCACCAGTACCAGTCTCGAACGCGATGTGCGTGAGCTGAAACGCTATGTTCGCATGTTTGTGAATAGGCAGAAGGAGAACACGAAGAAGAATGCGATAGCGATGGAGTGGAGAACAATGGCACTTGTGCTGGATCGGCTATTCTTCTTTATCTACATTGCCACCATTGGGATCACTGTTATCACCTCCCTACCCAGCACTACTGAGCTCACCGTCGCAGACTAAGCAATCGTTTTCCCTTTATCCTTTGTCTTTAATCATATCTTCCACTTATGTTATTTATTCCCCCATCTCTCCGCTCTCCTCAGCTGCCGCACACGCACATACACTTTATTTTCCCCTACCCCTAATTCCTATATCTCTTCAAATTTAATTGTCCTGGTTTGAGTCACCTTTCTCCGTGTTCCTATCGACAGACTGACTGCGGACTCCAAACTCTGATCTTAGATCCCACACTTTGTGCGTAACTCATTCAGTCATTTCCTTTCTCTGTCCTTAGTCCCGATAGTTAGTCAGTAAACTCGACCCATATAATTACTCAAATGTCGCTTTCCGCCCATCTTACTTTCTTTCCCACATCATTTACTCTTTCTGTACAGCAGGCAAATAAACAGGATAAATATCTTATCCCAAAGGCCCAGTTGGACTCAATGTGTGTGCCCGAGTTACCTTGTCTGCTTCGAAAACCATCCAAAACCGACTAATAATTGTAATTACTACCTTGGTACATCACTCGGTAAGCGCATTAAAAGTAAACATTAGGATAGAAATTTTTAGCTAGTACGAATTTTTCGATCGCTTGATATGAAATAAGTGGTGAGGTCTCTAATACACAGCCTGTGTGCAAGTATGTTTGCTTCTATTTCAGACGAACGGTTAGTGAAAAAGATTTGAAAACAGCCCGTACCTTTTGAGAAAATAATGTGGGATAGCAGCCGCGAACGACCGATACGAAGGCCCTTTATAACTACATAATTATGACCATCTCTAGAAACCCTGCCCAAGGTCAGTGCATTGGGAGCAGTTTATTCGGTGAGGTATGGATGGTCCACGCTACTTCAATTATAATACGATTTTAGGCGTCAAAGCAGATTAGATATTTTGCAAAGGTCTCGTCTGCTGTCACGAAACCTGCTTTCGTTATTGTCTAGGTGAAAACCTAGTGTTGTAGGCGAGGCGTTGCTGATATGACAGATGTAAACCACAGACGGCTGCTTAAACGCGAAGAGGTCTGCCATCCCGAAAAGCCTCGCTCTCCATATTAGGTTGGCTGACGAAGTGACCTTGAGCGGGTTTTGGACTGCCAACGATCTGCGGCGCACGACCCGTTATCGAGTTGCGACCACCTAAAAAACGACGTTTGCGCGGGGAGGGGGGAAATTTTGCTCTGCAGTGGTCATTAGGTGCCAAGAGCTGTGAATGTTTTTCCCGACGTGAAATGCCAGTTGTTGGTGGGGCTGGGCCCAACTTTCCCTGTCAGTTCCATCTTCCGTTCAATTTTCACATCTTTCGTCGGACATGCACGCCCAACTTCGCCTTTCATCAATTACTTACATACTAAACTATTCGCCTGAATTAATGCTTGCTAGATGTCGATCTGACCCTTGAAACGCAAAATTATCGTGGGGGGTGGAGCATTTCACAGTTAATTTTAACCTAGTATCTTTGCGTCCTCACTCCTTTTTACCTGCATTACTAGTAGATGGGAGCACATCCGAATTGAAAGCTTGAGTCTTGCGCGTATTTCGAGCCTTGAACTTCAGCAGCCGCGTTAAACGAAAATGTGTGAAGTATGGCTGTACTTATTGCTTGACAAGAGACGGCACCCGGATAGTTTATAGCATTCCAGTTGTTTAATTCACCGAGTTCTTCCGGACTACCAAGGTCGAAGCAGTTTTACATTCTTTTCAAAAAAAACAGTTGGTATAACATTGCAAAGGCATAATGAAATCGTGATGAATTAGTTCTGCACAAAGATTTGCTGTAAAACTGCGAATACCGGCTAGTGAGCGCGTCCGTTTTCAATTAGTTATCATCACGGCAATAAAGGTACACAAGAAGATAACAATACGACAGAAAATTAGACGAAATCCATTCATCCGAGATCACGCATCTCGTGTACATTGAAAATGCCATATGAGGAAAGAGAGATGTATAAGCCGACTAAGGAACACTGACTTATTTCAGTCTGGATGTGAGCATGTAGACAGATGCTGGCCAGACATAGCATGATCAGAACAGTGCCAAGTTAGGATATATGTAGTTTAGCCAACAGACGTTTGGCTATGACAACTGCAAGGTCTACGTGAAGTCGCTCTGTGCGTACAATACTTGTTTGTTTAGTCGGAGCGGAAATATATGACCCACCCAAGGAAAGAGCAGTATTAAAGAGTCAGGTATACTGCCCTGAGTTTCGCATGCGAATTGTCAATCACATTTATGTCGTTTGAAGGTGGCGCTCCGGAGCCCGAATTGATATCTGTGAACGTCGAGGACGCGGAGATGAACCGAACCCTTTCTGCACGCATCACACAGACGCTGAAGTAGGTGGAATACGGCCGTACTCTTAGACAGTATCATGAGTTGGATCAACACGTGGGCCATGGCGAATTCTGGCAACCGTTATCGGAATGAACATCATAACAAATGCCAACATTTCGGGGTGCGGTGTCAGACCCACTTGTCGACAGATGTCGCGCACACTGAGACCCCTGCGGCCTTCCCCATTGCGGTTGTTGGGTAAAATCCTGGTCATTTGCTGTGCGGACTGGGGGGGGGGGCGCCAAGGTGCGAACTCGACCGTGCTATTCACCGGCGTCCTCCCCTGCCTCCGGTCTTCTTGACTGTGCCCTGACACAGAGCGTAGGCGGAGGAGGAGAGAGTGTGGTAGATGCAACGAAAGTCTACTATCACTATAAATTAACTCACACACACAAGCCACTGTGCCTGCGCCATCTTGCTGTGGAGCACACGGTGGGCATCGTCGGCAACGAGGGTCGAACTATTGTATCTTCTCGGATCCGCCTCAACGAATGGCTTTCGTCTGCGTTACTTCCCTGCTTTCCAGAGTTGTCCTCTGAGGTTTTCAAGGTACTGTATGGCAGATTACAGTTCGGTGTGGAAAGTATGAAACTAATCACTGGAAGTTTGCACTGTTAAAACCAATTTTCTGCATAAAATCGAGAATTAATTCAACAATGTGCATCACAAATGCGGCTTCACCGTTTTCAGGTATTTTCCACAAAACGGTTTCCGATGTACGGTTTTATGGAGGAGAGGACCAACCGTATTTGACAGTCTTATAGCAGGGCAAACAGACAGCAATCTACACGTGGACGACCCCTTGTGGAAACTATACAAAATGATCCAAAGGCACAACCGTATACTGCAACCCACCTCCTCAGTACTAGTCTGATAAGGAGTTACTAACACGAGTGCTATATCGGCCGATCCAGCAACGCTAAGTATGAAGCCTGCAGAGAACACCACTCGGCGTGTTCCGTATTAAGGCCGCAGAACATCGCAGTTAACTTAGGAGTGGGCATGAACCATCGAACCGCGCCACAATCCGTCTCGGACTAGTACGGATGAATGATAAATTAAACGGGGGAAGAGACCAGTTGGCTTTCAGCTATCGCAACAAAAATGTAATCGCCTTCCCCCGCCAAATTTCATGGCCTCAACAGGTCGTGTATTACGAACACAAGCACCGGTCTGAAGGTTCCAGCGAGACGCCGCGGCTAATTATCACAAATTACCTGCCATATGAGGAACAGCAATAAAGTTCCTGAAGGTCTCTGACGGACGAATAATTACCGGGGTCGATGCAAAACAGGCTCCTAAGCCGGAGGGTTCGACCTTTTGACCTGTTAGTATTGCTTTGACGAGGCCTGTTAACTGGTGTCAGCATCGAAATCGGTATTACAACCCAATTACTGCCGGCCAGACCTCACATCGGCATAACAAATCTCGCACATTCAAAGCTATGCTTTACCAGTAGTCTGGGGGGCAGAGTCTTGGCCATTAGTCAATACTTATATGAGCGGATGATATAAGCCCATAACGGGCAGACAAACTCGTCTTTACTGAAAAAAAACTAAATGACAATAATAAACTCTGGATGCTGCGACTGAGGTGTCCACTCCCACCTTTATTCACATCCCATGAACAAATCGCTAAAACTGACATATTACAAGCAGTTAAAAGGCATGCAGACAACTTTTGACGTAATTGTTGGCTAGATAATAACGCAAGTTAAGAGTGCGATGAATGTGCAACTGCCTCCCGGCTACGGGTCCACATGCAGCGCTGAGGTGTCCTTTCAATACGTTAGCCACATCAGTCAGAGAAATGCCCATCAATTCAACTTAATTGGAGAAGATACATTCGTCCCAGTGGGAGCTTTGTGTCCAAAACAGAACTAAGACGTCCAAGTGACGACCAGCTAATAACGAGGGAAGGGTTACTGACAGGAAAAGGAAGATTGGATGACTACCTCCTGGTCGCTTCCCACTGTCAGACCCTAGATCGAAAATGACAAATAATCAAGTCAAAATGAATCGCTCTGAGACTAACTGAAGTGGAGGGGGATTCGAAGTCCTTAGGTAAGCTAACTGTCAACTGCGACTGGAAAAATTAGACCTCCACGCCGTTTTGTTTCAGAAGGATATAAGGCTGGCCAATGGTAGTAAGCAAACAGGACTCCATCGCCGAAACTTCGTGGTGACGTTACCTGCCGAGATGGGTTCACTAGGAGCGAAAAATCGAATGCATGGCTTACCCGAACTCTGTGACCGTGACTTTACCGATGAAGCCGTCAGTTGTGAATCGGCGTTCAAAACCACCTAGCACACGCTGACAGTTGACCAATTAAACAAAGAGAAGAGGTAGTCGAGATTAAATAATGCAGGTTGATAAGAGGGTGGAAAAGGTGCTGAAAAAGAAGGCTGCGGGTGCTAATCCTCAGATGTCTTGACAACAAAGCAGTACCATGCCAGGCATGCTGACCAGACGTTCAAACCGATTCACCAGGTCATTATCTAGGGCGAATGCACCAGCAATGCAGTAGCGTCGGTCCTAGCCTATTTCTTACTCTAACATGTATCAGCGGACTGTCGGCCGATTTGTAATTAGATCTAGCAGAGGCACTGACGTGGCATGAGCCGCTGTCCAACGCGTGCCACGTGCATGTACGTTAGCGCTTGGGGGTTCGTGCAGGCATGCAA